ATTGGCTATACACTTAATTCTCACTAAGGAAAATGCTAAATAACTAAGCAAACACTTAGCATATTTAAGCTTGTATATTAATGTGACAGTAAATTATTGACAGCATGTAAAAATTTGCATTATGAAAACCTTATGCTTACCAGCACAAATATTCTTCAGACTAGCTTCCACTTTATCCAAATCCGAAAATGTGGTTGCACCATCGGCATCAGCAAAAAGCAGCATTTCTCCCCGGGACCGAAACATGCCCTAAAACAAAATATTTTTTACCAAATTATTATAAGACATATCAAACACACTAGGAAATATAAAGCATTTATAAAATCAACAGGTTTAGCACACTTTAAACAATTCTATCAAGATATGACAAGCTGTGTAAAAAAGAATATCTCACCATCCTCACAGCTCCACCCTTGCCTCTGTTCTTGGCCAAAGTCAGAATCCTTACTTTGTCTGTGCCATACTTCTTCCCATACCCCAAGCCAACCTGTGTGGTCTTATCCTTACTTCCATCATCTACAATGATCACTTCATAGGTAAAGCTGCTGTCAGTCTTTGCTCTTTTTTCTAAGTACTCCAGACATTCGTCCATCATAACTGGTACTGTAAGCAAGTAAAAGATTTAATAACTAAATATTCGTAGTATTTCTTCTTTAATCGAATCAACAAAAACAAAATCACTCATTTCAGTAGATCCAACTTATATTAGCCAAACTTCATACAAATACATGGTACATTATGTGCATTAATACTTACATCTAGCTTCCTCATTGTATGCTGGCACAACTACAGACAAGGACTTAGTTGGTTGATCCCTTATTGATGGGAAATCAAATTTTTCTCCTGTTCCTGAATCTACAAATTGCTTTTCACTCTCATATGCTTTTATAGTTGGATACATTTCACTGTTGATATAAACTATAACACAGACCTGAAAGTTAAAGGCATTAGGAAGATTTTTATGGAAAATACTGGTGCGTATCTACACATAAATATTTCATCAAATGAGAAATGAGCCATGAATCAAAACATAATACATCATATGTAAATTTAATAGTTGGTCACCATTTTGTACTTACAGCAATAAATGCAGCCATAACAAGTGCCACTAGGTACACCAGAAGCATTAAGATGTCCATTTTTCTCTAGCTGTCTGTTTCTGGAAAAAACACATCATTAACAAGTACTTTTCTTTTAAGATTCTTCAATATATTCCTGTAAACTTTTCTAAATAAGTTTGACACAATTAGGATGTTCTGTGATGTACTGTCTTACTTTTTAAACAACGGCAAATAAAAAATGAACTAAGAATACTAAAACTGTTAGTAATTCTCATTTGAGGTATTCTCTCATTTCAGTGAAGATCTACATTTGTAGACAAATTTTATACTAAACATTAGACAAATCTGAAATATATCTAGTCATATGCAGGCCTCCCTGGCAATTTAATGTCAAATACAGATACAATCTAAGCTCTATCTTGTTAGAATGTGTATTTCAGATATACTGACCACTGCCCTAGCACAAAGCAGAGGCTCTGAGGTACAATTTTAGTGTATGACAACAGGACTTTTGCAATGAACAGTATATGAAATTGATGAATGACTGAAATCTAAGAAAAATTTCATTTGTGCCATTTCCTGTACAAAAATAGTGATTTGTTATATAAATATGATACTCAAAGCTCTTAAAACTTTAATTCTTCATAAGTAAATAATCAGCTGATGCAATTCTGATGCGAACATCTTAAGTGCAGATGGACTTACAGCCCCACAGGGTGGGCTTTAACCTGAACCAGTATCCTGCCTGCACTTTTGCAGATGTTGCTCATTCTACAGGGCTCCCACATAGTATTGGAATAAATGAAGGGCAACTAAGAGCACCCTGTGCCAAGCCCACAAAATGTTTCTTAAGTGTGTACTTATATGAATACAAACATTATATTAGAAATATTTTCAAATGCTATTTAAAATATATTATGCAACTCTTATTTTACTATATGCTATAAATAACATATATTTAGTTATTCAAGACTACTGGTGAATCCTTTCAGGTCTGTACCACCTGAAAGTTTACCAACAGTTTTTGCAATGTATTATTGCAGATTTTAGAAATTGCACTAATTACCATATATCAATGATTCTTACCCTCAAATATATTCATGACAGCGATGCACCCTACAGAGATGAAGTCCCAAAACCAGGGTAACATGCGGACCCAAAATCCAAACCAAACCTTTCCTACCTTCTATTTATTCCCTAGACACGCGGGAAGCCCTCGTATACTCCCCGCCATTATTAGCACTTTTTGCCAACTCATACAAATCCCAACATTAACCCATTCGCCGCGGATTTATGTTCGGTCCCCTGTAGTTTTTGGTGAATTTTGTTACATACAGATGGCTCCACATGTCCTCAGCTGGCAAGGAGTCTATCAGTAGACCCTAGTTACCGACCCTGATTTTCCCATTCATTGAATTGGCGGGAAAACTAATACCATTGCTTTCGATACTGTTATTATTGTTATTGATTTTATGCTTATTGAATTGTCATTAGAATATTTTTGACAATGAAATGATACAAAAAAACCCTTTCCTAAAGTGAAGGGAAAGGGTAAACAGGTGAAATAGGTAGTTCTTGATAACTGGCTATTTGGTGATTAAAAACTTGTGGAGCCATCTATGTGTAAATACAATAAATAAACGTGTATCAAAGTGGGTATGGCATCTATTCTTGCCATATGTGGCGAATGGGTTAAGAACTCTGGCTGTGTGAGAGTGTTGTGGACTTAGTCTCTGAGCAGTGATAGGAAGAGGATATTTTTGTCATACTGCTGTAAATATGAGGCTGCTGCAACTGTACCCATGTTGTTTATTACGCTACTGTTTTATGCTCTATAAGATGACTGCGTCCATTTCCCTCTATCTCTGTGCATCATTCTCAGTAACATTAACCATATTCTCAAACCAAATGCCAGAAATTGCATTCATTAAATGTTTTGTAAATTTAAACTTTCATATATAACATGAGCTTTGGTATGGCCTCATTAGTACACCACAATCATTAGACAAGAGTGTATTAACATGAACATATTAATTATTATTAATGTTACGCCTATAGATGAAAATTTGAATTAACAAAACTTTTAATTAATGCAATTTCAGGTAATTTCAGACACATATGCCTTTATAATATATGTATATATAGGCCTATGTATGTTGGCTTTGACACTATCTTTCCTGAAAAAACTGACTATATTAACCCATTGCCGCCAGGGAGAATCAATAAAAAATGGGTGAAATTCTGTGCTCATTTTTAAAATTTTGTGAAATGACCCTGTACATAGATGGCTCTGCTAGTGCTTAGCCATTAAGGATTTCATCTTTCCTTGAGTTGGTGGGAAAAACATTTTTTACTAGTGCTACAAAAATAGATGGTGTTATATTCATTATAAATATTATTTGTAATAGCAAAATAGGATAACGTTAAATATTTTCATAAACCAATGAAAAGAGTGAATGGGCAAGACAGGCAATACTCATAATTGACTCATTGGTGATTTAGTACACGTGTAGCCATCTATGTGTAAAAACAATTAAACAAGTAAACTCACAATGGGCATGGCATGTACGTACATGCCATGCCCATCGGCAAAGGGTAAATAATAATTAAGCCCTCGTTAGGCACACCATCTGTGGCAACTGCACAGGTCTTCACCGAAGTCACCTTGGACAGGGCTTAACTGAGTCCCTTCCCTGGGGACTGCATTATGGGACCCACTTTTTAATAATAACGCCATTAGTCTCAATACCAATACTTTCACTTGTATCCTTTGCGATCGAAAACATCAGACTAATTGAGTGAATAACAACTGCACCTTTGGATGAACTACCCATACTTGTTTTTAAAGTACTGATAAAGTGATGTCAAAAAAAAACAAAAAAACATATCCTCCTCTTGCCCATATGGTGAATTATATATCGATATCCTTACACCAACGTTACACTAAAATACTTAAACAGTCTGGTATCTTCCCTTACCCTCCCCCCCCCCCAAAAAAAAAGAGCAAGGAAGATCCTAAAATATGAAACACCTCAACCAAAATACCAACGTTACTAAATCTCTCTCAATTCGCAGACAAAATCCCGATCCCAATGAAGTGTAAAAAAAGGAAGACCATATTACCTCGATAATCTCTCAGGTTCCGTCTGCCTCTCCACCTCTCATCTCCCGGCCTTAGGCAACGTATTTCAAACCGGTTTCCCTTTTACTCTCGTGAGGTGAGAGCTGGGAGGTTTTTCTCACTCTCTCTCTCTCTCTCCCTCTCTCTTCCTCTCTATTGCTCCCTCTTCTTCGCCTTCTCTCTCTCTCTTTCGCTCAGCTGTTTGACACCTTGCCTGTCGGTGTGTTCGGAGCGTTGCGTTCTGACTTCGTTCCACAAAGCCGGGCTAGTTCGGCATAAAAAAAGGAAAAACAAAAAAAAGAAAAAAAAAACTTGATCTAATTTTTTGTTTTGTTTTGTTTTCCTTTCTTGCTGTGTACTGGTATGAATTATTTTTGTGGTGTGTCCAATTGATTATTTTCACAAAGAATTTAAGCATTCATTTGTTCTGTTATTCAGTGTATATGCAGAACATTCTTAACATTTTTTATATACAGTTATAGACATAAACTAAAGGGTCTTTGATTTATTTCAGTATGATTCGATGGAGGAGGTAAGAAAATCGCCTAGTGAATGCACAAAATCAAACTATTTCAAGCATAATCCACAACGTGCATAAATATATATAATGAAGCGTCTATCCCTTAATTTTATCATCTAGGAAAAATGAAGTTCCTAATCACACGAAACAAACTGAAAGCTCTCATAACAATACTTAAAAGTATTTCACACGAAATTCCTCAAACCAATAGACCCCTGACTTTAAATCCTAAAATGCAGGAGTTGAAGACAACCAAATAAACCGTAGAATAAACTACACACACTAAAACACACACACACATATCTAACCACAATACACCAATCCCAACCACACATAACCGAGAGAGAGAGAGAAAAATTTGGCCATACATAATTCACAAGAATTGGAAATCGAATCCACAGCACAAGGATCCAGACGCAGAGGGATACGTGGGTGGCTGCTGTTGGTGTCGTAAGTATTCCTGCTTGTGATTTTTACACGTGGTTGCTTGTTTTGGTGGAATGGCCTTCGTTGTGGATGTCGTTGTGGTGGACATGGGCTGTTCAGGAGTTCGTAGGGGTTTGAGTTATTTCAAAAGTCTCGTTTCTTCTGGCTCATGGAAGGACTTTCCTAGAGGAATGAAATCTTGATCTGTCTAGTTGTTAGAAGTGGGACTTGATCAGGATGATTTAGTTACTTTATATTGCCATTTGATGAGGTCTTCGTTCCTACATTACTACGTGGTAGTTTGTATTGTATTGGTAAATTTGTAGTGCCAACCAGTTACGAATTTCTGATACTTTTTAATTTTTGAGGGGGGAGGGGCGTGTAAAAAGTTCATTATTATACTTTTTTTTTTAAACTTTCCGAACATGTCAACCAAGAGTACAGTAAAATAAGTATGTGGAATGGATACCTTGGCGAAAACTAAGGCACTTTTCATCTATGGTGAGTGCGCAAATCTAAAAAAAGGGAGTGACGTAATCGTTTTTGTGAAACGTATAAATACGTTTGTTATTTCCGCTCAAAAGTTTTAAAAAGTTAGTATTGCTCAAACAGTAATGCTATTTTGTGTATGGTTGCGATTACGAATAGCACTTAATAGTCCTTGCAATAGACAAAACGACAAAAATAAAGCTCTTGTCATCTATGTCAACGTTGTGGAAACGTTTTGAATCAGGAAATCCCTTTAGTATACGTAATGAGGCTCTGAGATAGGAAAAAATGTAATGACACTGGCATAAAGAAAGAGGGGGGGGGGTCATTGAAGTTATCCGTGCAGCCAAAGAATGTCGTCAAAAAATAAGAAAGTAAATCACGGCAAATGAAAAAACACCACAATAAAGTCCGTTGCGAACGGTGGGGGGTCGGGGGAGGGGGGAGGGGAGAGGTTAATGCTTCGTGCGGCGCTTTTTTGTGGTTAAAACAATTGCCCCCCCCAAAAAAAAATATTGAAGCATTCGCGATGGAAAACGACGATAGATCATGCTCACAGCACTGTTAATAATTGGTATAGGGAGTAATAATTGCGAGGTTAGATGGTTGTGTGAAATAACTTTCAATAGTTGCGCAACATACAACTTGTAAACCTTAATGATGATGAACATTAATTAGCAAACAGTTCAATATCTATACCTGTTACATGGAAGGTGGAGGTTTGCTTGCCTGTGAGTGCAGAATGCTTCGGAGGCCGTGGCGGTTGTTTGATGCTTTGCTTTATCGAATTACCCATAACTATCAAAGAGGTTTTATCCTGATTTTGTCACGCTTTGACATCGCACCGAATGCATCTGTTGTGGTCGTAGCTTCATAATCAAATGCATCAAGAGTCGCCATTATAGTTTCCAGAGACTCAGATAGGATAAGAACTTCGTCAAATTCAAGGTCCGTGATCTTGATATTGCCTTGTGTTGTTCCACAGTGACTTTGGTTAGTAACTCTACCCAGTATCCAGTCTATGCAAGTGTAAAAAATATTTGTGCGAGGACTTAGCCTTGCCTCACTCCAGAATCTAGACATGATCCAACCACACTTTACAACACTAGTATCTTTGTTAGAATTCTCCTAAATTTCAGGTTCTCTCAGAGCGATTTGCGAGACGCCGACGCAAACGCCTTTTTGGGGGTTGATGTGGGTTGTAAGCAGTCCAAGACCAACCTCGTTAAGGCATTCCACAGTGGCTCAAAGGAGTAGGATATGGTCAATTGTGGACCTCCAGGGAGTGAACCCAGGTTGCCTTGTTCACTGGTTCTTTAGCAGGTGTTCCCTGGTATGCCTCAGGTCTGGGGGAATGGTGACGGACTCCCAGATGATAACAAGAACAGCATACAGACCCCGTGTCAGAGATTCAACACCGACCTTTGGCAGCTCAACAGGCTTATGTCTACTGCTTTACCACCCTTCAGTTTAGAGTTCGCCTCCCAAAATCTCAGTTAGGGTAGGAGGCTCTTTGTTGATGGGTGGTTCTGACTAGGGGACCTTGACACCTCGAACATCCAAGCCAAATACATTCACGAACCCCTACATGATCTGAGGTGATTCGTCCATCCACAGAAAAGACTGCAGTTGTTTAGGAGGAGGGCTTGAAGTTCAGTTTTTTCAAGACTTTTGTTGGCAGGACGAAGTTTTTTTTTTTTTTTTTTTTTTTTTTTTTTTTTTTTTTTTTACTATAGGAAATGACCTTCAACCTCCTTAGGAAGATTCCTGATGTACTATTCCTTGTCCCTTCTCATCAGTCTTGTGTACTAAGGAACGGCCAGCATCTCTGGCTCTATGAAATTCTGCTTTGTTCTTGGGCATTGCTTATGGACTCACGAGCTGCATCAAGTTTTTTTGTGGCTAAAGGAATCCCACAGAGCTACAGGGTCTGTCAGGTTGGTGAGTGTTGCGTGAGATAAGCATGTTAACTTCTGGGCGCAATCCTCTTTCCTCAGTGTCTAAGTATAACACCCTGGGGTGGATACTGGAAAGACATGAGGTTTTGAAGTGGACCCGAAAGGAAGCCATAGTAAATTTTGTCTGCTCGTCCCACGCACCTCGGTCACCCAGCGATAAGGCCATGTCCAAGAGTATCAACATAAACGGCTACCATTACCAGATGACGCATGGCTCTTCTTGCAAACCCATTTACTACTATTTCGCAAATATGTGACAAGAAACAAAAGAACAGACAGATACTGGTATTCTCCTTGTTCGTATTAGATGAGAAAGGAGTATTTATGATTTTTCCTTGTTTTCAAACTTGCGCCACAACACGACCGTAAAAACAGAGATGGCATTGCATCCCTAATCAAATTAGATTTAATGAAGAGATAATCTTAAAAGAATTCAATTTAAATGGTTTGTGCTTCGAATATACAGTGGTTAACAAGATTACTAATGAATGTGATAGCATAATTAGAAATGCATAGCCAATGATTTATTTTTTCATTTAGAGCACAGTTTCTCTGCTGTTCGTTTACGCATTCAAACGATTGTGACCGTGCCCTAAAAACCCAGCCCATGAACAGAAGAGTCGGTGTACGTCTAAGGGGTCCACACACACTCACGTTGAGTATATGTATATACATATATACACATATATTTATGTTTATATGGTCATATGTGTATCTATACAGTATGTTGTGTACATATTTATATACACATATACACATACAGAGGCGTCAATGGAAGACTTTGCCTTCCTCAAGGTCTGCCCCCCCCTCCCAAGGGCCACTTTATTATGCACCAATATAGGTCCGGTTGTAGCTAAAAAATACCCCTAGAATAGTTCATAGAGAAAAATGCACTTGGCACACCTAACCAAAATTTGGCAAGCTGAAAAAGCTGAAATGATGCCCCCCGTATATATGTGTGTGTGTGTGTGTGTGTGTATATATATATATATATATATATATATATATATATATATATATATATATATATGTGTGTGTGTGTGTGTGTGTGTGTGTATGTATATTTATTTGTAGTGTAGATGTACAGTTCCCCACACTTCCAACTGTTACACCACGAGTCTGGAGGTGAACAAATGTCTTGCAATACTTGTGTAATATTACGTAAGTGGAGAGGTCGGCCGCTAAAAATAACTGTGATTGGTTGAAATAATTTTACAAATCCGATTGAAGAATTGATGTTAAAATGTTATTATTATTCACATTACAAAACCGTAGAACAAAGATTAATCTTTATCTGGAATGGGCGTATCTGAAAGAGACAAACTGGTTTTTGATTGATGCGCGAAAAACAAATACTGACAATGTTTCTACGCCTTTTTTTTTTTTTTTTTTTTTTTTTTTTAATTAAATATCGTTGATTTGTATACATTAGATCAAATCACAAAGAGCATTGTTAGTTAATCAATCACGGGTCAATTGCAATTTGTCTCATCCCAAATATACATGTTAAGGGGGTAAGGAGACTTTGGAGACTTTGGCCCAAGGTAGGGTGTCATCCATATCTTGGACCGCGACCAATTATGAACGGTCTTTTCTTCTCCCCCATTCCTTTTCTTTATCTGTCCACTTCGTAAGGTGTGAGAGCCGTGCTGAAAGGAGGAAAGGATGGTTTTGTGTCTTGTCATGAACGGCCTCTGGGAGCCATGGGCACGGTATTCCCTTGGTTAATCGCCTATCCCGTACCCCTCGTGGGTATCCCGAGGGGTATACCGTTTCTTCTCCCCATATATTTCAGGCTCACCATTGCCAGTAATAAAGTTTTTTTTTATCCTTGATAGGACTTGCCCCTTCATCAACCGGCTTATCTAAATTTTATTTCATTGGTTTTCTGACCCCTGCCTCACCAGTGACCGGCTCCGGCCATTGATACAAGGCAAAGTTTCCTTTTGCGATCGTCCACACCTTGTCAGTTATATCTAAGTCTCAAGCTCGTGCACTATCTGACCTCGATGGCAAACCTAAACCTGTCTAACCTCACTCCCTCAATACTTGTACTGGAACTGTTTCTGTCTCCCCGACTGTCCTGTATACAGCAAGGACAGGTTAGACTGTGAAAATGACTTGCTCGCATGCCTCGTCGACAGTAATGCAGTCCAGTGCTACACTATTCCTCCCAGAGGCTAATGTAAGTCCTACACCAATATTGGTTAACTTCCATAGACATGGCCTCCCCCATGAAGTTTATATTGGTGGAGTGTCCTTTGTTGTCTGACCATGTCGACCCCTTCCCCTTTTGGCCTCCCAGCCAAACACTATTGCTCCACAGTCCGCTGCCCTCTATGTGCCCAACCTGATTATGACCATTCAAATTGCTCTGCTCTGTCATGCATATGTGCCAATTGTGGTGGCTCCCATAGTGTACTTTATAGGAGCTGTCCTGCCTACAAGCTCGAATCTGAGGTAGCAGTTCTCAGACTCAAATTAGGCCTCACTCTACGTGAGGGCAGACAAGAACCACGCCGACGAGGTTTTCCTCTTTCTACCTATTCCAAAACTGTCCTTTACTCTGCTCCCCTC